ATGTGGATTGGTCAACCCGTAAAAATATAAAAATAATACAACGAGATTGTTACCAGGAGCATACGTCCATTAAACATAATAATGAGAATATTATATAATTAACTCACCTGAATAATTAAATTATTATTAATTATATTATGTTTGTTTTATATTATCTCTGCTAAAATTCTTTTATGATACTTAACGGTAAATAAAGTGTAATTTTCATGCTACGATTTAGATAAAAGATAATTAATTATTATATAATAATTATATATAATGGAATAAATTAAATTTGACTATTATATAATACAATAACTGTTTAGTTGATTATCAATAGAATGCATTTGTAATGATGTAGTTCTAGAGTTTAGAATGTACTTTCATCTAATTTTATTATAAATTAGTAATTAGATTAGATTGCGAATGGCCAAACAAGTTTAGTTGGAAAAATGAATTTTTTCATTTATTTTTAAATTCAATTTAATTAAAATTCATCCTCAATGGAAAAACTGGGGTAAATGAGGAAAGAGAAACGATTCCAATCAAAAGTATTCATAATAAATGAAGTTTGTATGTAAATGTGAGCGTTTGAAAGTCATTTAATTGGTGAAAACAATGAATTACGATGACAGATAGGAGAAAAATATAATCTGTTATGTTACGGGTTTATCTTCTGGATCTTTTCTCAGAATAATGTTTCTAAACACATAAAATAAAATACACAGGAATTCAAAGGAAATCAATTATATCGATATATAAATTGTAATATAGTAATATATTGCATGCCCTTTATTAACTCATTAATTTATGTATTTTTAAAATAATTTTGCAAATAGAGAAATTTTCAGCAAACTTGTTGCATATATTCTTTAAATGTCTATGATGTAATTATTCAAATTAGTTACAAGAAATTAGTAGCATCTGACACTGATGTCTAGCTTACCTGTTGGAAAATGTAATATTCTACGAGGGTAGTCCCAGAAGTACCCGACCTAACAAAAAAGACACAAAAAATTTGGTAAAACATATCTTTATTTTTCGACATAGTCTTTTTTTAGCTCGATACACATTTTCCAGCAATGCACAATAGCTTCGATCCCCTGTTTATAGTGAGAACTGTCGAGCTACTCAAAATAGCCATCAACCGCAGACTCCACCTCTTCATTGTTGGCAAATCTTTAATCACCAAGCCATTTTTTTAAGTTTGAAAAGAGAAAATAATCCGAGGGGGCTAAATCAAGCGAATAGGGTGCGTGAGGAAGCAATTTGAACCTTAACTCATTGATTTTGGCCATCGCAATAACGGATGTGTGAGCTGGTGCGTTGTCTTGATGAAACAACACTTTCTTTTTCGCCAAATGTGGCCGTTTTTCCTTGATTTAATCACTCAAGTGCTGCAATAAGTTCGCATAATACTTGATTGTTGATTGTTTTTCCTGGGCGCATCCCAAAAAACTGACGCCATGACCTTGCCAGCAGATGGAACTGTTTTCGCCTTCTTTGGAGCTGATTCTCCTCTTTCAGTTCATTGTTTAGACTGTTCTTTCGTCTCAGGTGTAAAGTGATGGACCCATTTTTCATCCATGGTTATGCATCGACGCAAAAACTCGGCTTTGTTGCAGCGAAACATTGCCAAAGACTCGATTGAAACATCCTCATGACGCTGTTTTTGTCCCATTGTAAGCAAACGCGGCACCCATCTTGCGCACAGCTTTATCATGTCCAAATTTTCAGTTAAAATGCGATGTACAGCACTTTTTGAAATGCCTACCATGTCTGCTAGCTCTTGCACTTTGAGTTGACTGTCATCCAATATTATTTTGTGGATTTTTTTCACCATATTTGGCATGGTCACCTCACTTGGTCGACCACTACGATGTTCGTCTTGGCAGCTCGTACGGCCTCGTTTAAACTCTGCCACCCAATATTTTATTGTTGTAAACGAGGGAGCAGACTCCCCCAGAGTAGAATCTAGCTCAGCATTAATATTGGTTGGACTGAAACTTTTCAAATGAAAGTATTGTATCACATAACGATGACAAATTTTTTCCATGTTTACAAATTCACTGAGATTGTTCACTATTTATGGCTGCCAAAAAAATACTATACAACGTAACGTCTTCAAACTTCAAACTTAAGCTTCATAAGGTTGATACTTTCGAACACAGTCGTTTTTTTTTCAAACAAGTACCGCCATCTATGTCAGGTCGGGTACTTCTGGGACGACCCTCGTAAAAAATGTGCAATTCATCCAAATATTTTGGCTGTTTGAACGTTCTGAACAACAAAAATTACCATTTGCAGAGCATCTCTCGTCAGTGATACACATGGCATCTTGTTGTTCCAGTATGACAATTGTATTCACAAAGCCTGTACCGTGTTGGAGTAACACGAGGAACACGAAACAACGATCGAATATGTCCATTGGCCAGACAGGTCACCAGATTTAAATCCCATCAAAAATTTGTGGGACCACCTCGAGAGGTAGGTGAAGACCACAGGAGTGCCCATAAATGTCGAAGAATTACGTGAGTGACTATAAACAGAACGGCTTAAAATTGATATACAGAACGTTATATCAACAGCTTTTAAAGTCCATGTCCCGAGGAATTTTAGTTGTTGTTAAAGCTAAAAATCTAAAGAGCCGCTATAAATACTTAATCCATGTTTTTAGCAGAGGCGATACATGAATAAAAAGCGAATTTATTCAAAAGACAAATTAATCCAATATTTTAATACTCTATTTAAAATAAATTGATAACTTTCGTTTAGATTAAAAACGATCAGACAATTCTTTAACTTGATATAGAAAATTCGAAACTTCTAAATTGTTCAGGGAACATTAGATGAGAATGATAGTCCCTTAATTGCATCAATTTACGAGTTGTAACTCTCTACTTTATATCTAATTTATACATGAAAACCTATTCCACAACTCTTCTTTTCTAGGAAAACTTTTGCTATTTTTAAACAAAAATTTTTTTTTGTATCGAATTTTTAGTATTAAAAAATA